GGAATAAGCTGAGGGTTGTTGGAAGGGAAGTGGGTGGGGGGATGGAGTAACTGGGTGAAGGGCGTTAAGGAGGGCACTTGATATAATGAGCACTGGGTGTTATATGCAAATGATAAATCACTAATCTCTACCCTGAAACTAATAATACACTATATGTTAACTAACTTGAATTTAATTAAAAAAAAAAAAAAGAGGAAAATGGGGTATTTAAATTCCCTACTACTTCTGGGTTGCTATATTTCTTTTCAGATCTGTTAATATTTGCTTTATTATATATTTAGATGTCCTGCTGTTGGGTGCAAAAGTATTTATAAATGTTGTATTTTATTGATGAATTAACTCTTTTGTCATTAAAAATGATATTCTTTGTCTTTTGTGATAGTTTCTGGCTTCAAGTCAATTTGTCTGATACAACTATAGCTACTCCTTTCCTCAGTTTCCATTTGCCTGGTGTTTTTTCCCTTCTTTCACGTTCAGTTTGTTTGTATCCTTAAAACTGAAATGAGTCTCCGTAGGCAGCACAAAGTTAGGTCTTTTCTTTTTTTTCTTTCTTTCCTTCTTTTTTAAATTCATTCAGCCACTCTATGTCTTTTGATTGGAGAATATAGTTCATTCACATTTAAATAGATGTCAGTAGGAATAGATTTAGTATTGACATTTTGTGAATTGTTTTCTAGTTGATTTGTAGTTCCTTTGTTCCTTTCTCTCTTGTTCTCTTCTTTTGTGATTTGATGATTTTCTGAGGTGGTATGTTTTGATTCCCTTCTCTTCATGTTTTGTGTTTCTTCTATGATAAGTTTTAGCTTTGTGGTTACCATGAGGCTTTAATAAAGCATCTTATAGCTATAATAGTCTATTTTAAGCTGTTAACAACTAACCTGAATGCATACAAAAGCTCTACAATTCTACACATTTCTTCCCACATTTTGTTTTTGATGTCACAATTTACATCTTTATATATTGTGTATATATTAAGAAATTATTGTAGTTATAATTACTTCTAATATTTTAGTTTTTTAACCATTATGTTAGAGTTAGAAGTGATCTACCCACCACTATGACGATATTGGAGTATTCTGAATTTTTCTGTATACTTACCATTAGCAGTGGGTTTTATACTTTCATATATTTTTTTAAGATTTTATTTATCTGATATATATATATATATATAGAGAGAGAGAGAGAGAGAGAGAGAGAGAGAGAGAGAGAGCGCGCACAAGCAGGGGGTAGTGGCAGGCAGAGGGAGAAGTAGGTTCCCCAAAGAGCAGAGGGAGCCCAATGAGGGACTCAATCCCAGGACCCTGGGATCATGACCTGAGCCAAAGACAGTTGCTTAACTGCCTGAGCCACCTAGGCGCCCTACTTTCATATGTTTTTATGTTACTAACTTATGTCCTTTTATTTCAGCTTGAAACATTAACATTTCTTGTAAAACCATTCATGATCAACTCTTTTAGTCTCTGCTTGTCTGGAAAATTCTTTATCTCTCCTTCAGTTCTCAAGGACAACTTTGCCAGGTAGAGTATTCTTGGTTAGCAGTTTTTTTCTTATCAGCACTTTGAATATATACATCATCCCATTCGCTTCTTATAAAGCTTCTGCTGATAGTCTTGTTGTACTTCCCTTGTACGTAACAAGTTATTTTCCTCTTGCTGCTTTTAAGATGCTCTCTTTGTCTTCAATTTGTGAATAACTTAACTGTAACGTGTCTTGGTGTGTATCTCTTAAGATGCAGCTTATTTGGTATTTTTTGGTCTTCCTGGAATTGGATTTATATGACTTTCCCCAGGTTAGGGAAGTTTTCAGCCATTATTTCTTTGAAGAAGCTTTCTGCTCCTTTGTCTCTCTCTTCTCCTTCTGGAAGCCCTATAATATATCTGTTGGGCCATGATGGTATATCCTAAGTCCCTTAAGCTATCTTCAGTCCTTTCATTCCTTTTTTTTTTTTTTTTTCTTTTTGCTTCTCTGATTGGGTAGATTCCACTGCCTTGTCTTCAAGTTGGCTGATCTTTCTTTCCACTTATTCTAGTCTAGTTGAACACCTCTACTGAATTTTGTAGTTAGTTATTGTATTCTTCAGCTCTGTGATTTGTTTGGTATTTTTAAAAAATATTTTCTAACTCTTTGTTGAAATGCTTACTTTGTTAATGCCTTGCTCTCCTGACCTCAACAAACAACTGTATGACTGTTATTTTGAACTCTATTGTGTAAATCACTTATTTCTATTTCGTTAAGATTTGTTTCTGGAGATTTATTGTTCTTTTGTTTGGAATGTATTTCCTCGTTTCTTCATTTTTCTTGATTTCCTGTGTGGGTTGGTTTCTGCACATTAGGTAAAACAGACAGCGCCACCAGTCTTGACACACTGGAGTCGTATAGAGATGAGCCTCATCAAATCAGCATGGGCTAAACTGTTAGTTGTCTTTTAAATCTATGTGATTACTCAAACAGCCTTCTTTTTTTTTAGTGGCTCCTAGTAGTTGAGGGACCTGACAGTGTTCCAAAGGAAAGGATCACAGTCAGCACCTAGATGCAGGCTGATTTTAAGACCGACTCTCAAGAAACAGCTTGTGAAATATATAGTCAAACCCATTTCAGGGAAAGACTTGCCAGTTCCCTCTCCATTGAGCCCTGGGGGGATACCTGGGTGAGCACTCTTGCATACCTGTTAAGAACTGCCTCATTGTTCACTACAGTCCTGTGGGATTTGTGAATGCAAGCTCCATTGGTTATCAGATCCAGTCATCCCTTGAGTGGCAACAGTCAAACGCAGGGCACCAGGCATGTGTACAATCTTCTTCTAGAGATAGGATGATAACCTGGTTTTATAGTGGGAGTGAGCCAGAGGGAGAAGGTGACAGAAATGCCCATCAGCTCCCCTGGGCTCCATGGGGGATCACAGCCAGTTCCTTAATGCACGCAGCCAGACTCTTGCATATGGACTCTCAGCAGCAGATTGTAAAGTAGGTAGTCAACTTCTTTTCAGGGACAGACTAGAGATGGGCATTTTTGCCTGCTCCCTCTGTGCTAATAAGGCCTGTGAGGATAGTTAACAGTGAATGCTCATGAGGCCATTAAGAATGGTTTCTGTAGTCCTGTGGGTCTTGTGGATGTATAACCAACTGGCTTTCAGAGGTAGGTGTTTTGGGGGCCTGTCTCTTGAGTGACAGCCTTAAAAGCTGGGGTGCTAAATGTATGGTCCAAATCCTCTGCTGCTCATGGAGAAGCTGGGAGTTGGGGATGCCCTCTTGATTGGTACTGTGCTGGGTATAGTTTTTATGGAAAGAGTGTGTCTCAGCCTTTCCTACTCATTTCAGTGTGGGTTATTTTCTTAGTTGCCTGACGTGTAGGAGTCACTGAGCTAGTTTCTCGATTTCTCTCAGAGGGACTACTCTGTGTGTATCTGGGGGAGGAGGGAAGTTCGGGAGCTCCAACTAAAGAGTCCTGCTGAATTGGTGAAGTAGCAGTTTCTCATTAATTGTAAATTGTAACTGGAAGTTATAAACAGAATTATTCTCTTAACTTCATTCTCAGAATGTTAGTTGCTAGTGTACAGAAATACAGAAATTTTTTATATTGACTTTATATCCTGAAACCCTGCTGAATCTACTTATTAGTTCTCATATTAGATTTTTTTATTAGATTCCTTAGGAATCTAATTAAGATTCCTTATTTTTTATTAGATTCCTTAGGATTTTCTATTCACAAAATCTTTTTTTTTTTTTTTCCAATCTGAATGCCTTTTATCTCTTTTTCTTGCTAAAAGCTTCAGTACAATATTCAACATAAATGATGAGGGGGCATCCTTGTCTGTCCCTGATCTTAGGAGGAAATCATTCAGTCTTTCAACATTAACTATATTAATATAATCTTTCTTTTTGATAATGGATTTACTTCCTATTTGGGAATCCTATGCAACAGTTCTCAAGAAATAGCTGTTGATTGGCCCAATGAAACAAAATTCATTCTGGTTTTGGAAATCACAGTTATTTAGAGATAAATGAGTAAGTCGAGAAAGCATAATTGATACAATATATTATAATGCAGATATGCACAAGTTACGGATGGTGACTTATGGTAATCTTTTACCATACGAATTTGACATTCTTTTGCTGAGTTTTAATATCTCAATTCCATAGTGTGATCCATCCACTAAAAATTCCTGTGTCAGAGGGTGATGGCCCACTCATGGATAAATCTGAATCTCTTTTGCAGCCTTTGGTTCTTCTCCTGTCTTAAGCAAAAGACCCTGACCAAAGAAATATGTGGTAGGAAAAGAGAAAAAGGAGAAAACATTCTTAACTTCTCTAAAATGAACCACATCTGAGATCAAGCCCTTGGGCCAGATGGTGCTCTAATGAAGGAAGGAGAATGGCACTCTGTGTAGCTTCCTTTCCCTCTACACTGCAGAGTTAACAAGAAATACTTGGTGAGCCTTGACAAGAAATCTAAAAGGACCTGCCTTAGTCCTTGCAGGATTTTATACTAGTGTATGTATCTTGTTCAATAACCATCTATATATAATATACGAAAAGATGACATAATCTAAAAAACTATGGATTACTCGCAACCAAAAGATTTCCTTATATAGCCATTCCAATCTTGCTTTTTTTAAAATCAGAGGACATGGGTCATCAGTTCGATCATCCTTGTGATATCCTAAGTATTGGCAATCTTGATCCATATAGTGGTATATTTATCATTTATACAGAGAAAAGGCCATTATTTAATTTGGCAGGTGATATCATAGTAAAGCAAACATCATAACTACTTTTAAAGTTCACTTCGGCAGATGTCAAGCTAGTCTGCATCAACATATATTAAATTGCGTGTTAGAAATATAATAACCACTGTAACAAAAAACTTATCTTAGGGGTTATAAAAAGCTTAGTAAGTAATGTAATTTATTCATTTACTGAAATGTTATTTTAAAGCACAGTTAAAATAATCTGGAACGCTTGAGTAATTCTTCTGAAAAACAGAAAATAGAGAGCTCTTACCAAGTTTGCAATGATGTAATGGTAGCCTTTTACATGCTTCCCAACGCTCACAATCTGTGAAAATAGAAGGAAACAAGAGAAAACCAATTTAACTTTACTGAAGGATATTTTTAAAAATAGAATTTTAACTATTTTAACCTAATTCCATGTGGAAACATGAGAAAATGTTATACTTTTCCTTATAACCAGAAGAAATTCCTAAGCTACCTTAAAAATTAAGTGATTAAAGTAAAAAAAAAAACCAACACGCTAATTTCGATCATGCTGTATAAATGATCTTTCATTCAGTAAACTTTGTTCAAAAAACTACTACGCTATAATTCCCTCAAAGAGAAGGAGATGGTTTTGAAACAAACTGATGGTTCATATATACATATTCATATATATATATATATATATATAAGAATATACACAAACATAAGAAACTAAAATTATTTTGGTCCAAAGAATATAGACATCTTTAATTTGTTGATAATTTGTAGAAATGTATGATAAGCTGTTAAGTGTCTTCCACTATTAAGAATGACTTTTTATGAGTAGACTGTATTTTTGTCCTGAGCAGCAAGCAAGGTTTTTGTAAGGCACAGTATCTGTGTTGAGATGTCTCTGATACTACAGAATACCTAGTTAATTCCCACCTGCATATGGATAGAACGGTATTTTATTATAATCAAAAGAATAAAGACAAAACAACATCAAGAGAATTTTTCTCTCTGCTAGATTCATTAGTTTTTTTCCTAAGAATGTTTTTAGGTATGTTTCAGGAATTAGCCATTCAAAAAGTTCTAACACAGAAATAAAACTCTTGTTTTCTACAAAATTGACAATTCCTTCAATGAGAGAACATCTGATGACAGATACTGATGAGCAGTTCTGTAACTTCATTGGTTCCTCAAAGGGGACAACACAATATATGAGTTTCATGTACTTTCATCATCAAAGAAAAAATTAAATTGTTTTTAGTGTTTTAAGATCCTCTAAAAATAATTCTTTGTAAATGGGTGGCTTGTGTATAAAATAAAGGAAAACCCTTTTAAAAATCCAGTACAAACTGTGCTCAAAAACAGAGCTTGGCACACAAGGCCACTGGTGAAATGGAGTCTCTGCTCATCTCATCGTTTCTTTTTGGTCACAGCTAAGACCTCCTCTTTATCCTGATGGCTCTGCAGTTTCACTACAACGGAGTTTGGATTTTTACTTCTTAGTATTTGTTTATATTGTTCGGGATTTGTTGTGCTTCCTGAGTATGAGGATTTCCCTTCAACAATTCTGGGAAATTCTCTACCAATATCCCTGAAAACATCCCTTCGAAGACGTCTGCGTTTGCTTCCAGCAGGGACTGCAATGTTGCTATCACTGATTCCCAGCTCCCGGTGTGCGGTACAAATGTAGATTCAATTCACAACCGCCTAACGAGGGTTGTGATGACCACTTCTCACCGGGGCTGTCAGCCCCACCACACGGAGCCTGGCCCAGGCGGAAAACACTCAGGTGATCCCTTGTGCAGGTAGCAGATTGTTGTCTAGTCCTCTCTGTTACTGCCGTGTCACCCCTCAAGAGTGGGGCTTTCAGTCGGATCTGAGTGCAGACTTACTGCCTTGGCTGAGCCCAAAGGTTCTCTCCTCGGGTGAGCATCAACCCCCAAGTCAGGCTGCCCAAGCTGGCAACTTCCGTGGGCACAGCTGCCTTTCCTTCCTGGCTCCTGAAGGTTTTCTCTATTCTCCAGGAAGCTCCACTACGCATGTGCAATGTTTTACACAGCATGTCTCTCTCTTTCCTATTGCCTGATTCAGCTAGTCCACAGTTTGTCTAAAACTGAACATCCCTCGACAGTCTCACCACGAAGACGAGGACAAGCAATGTGTAAATGGGATCGTAAAGAAAGTCCTGGAAAGAAACCGTGTAATTAGTCATCATGCTGGGTAACCCAAACCCGAGTGATTTAGCCCGGGCTGAGGAGGTCGGAGCCCTCGGATTCTCTGGGAATCTCAGGTGGAGCTTGTGCAGAAGAGAACTGTCAAGGAACCCTTGATGGCTGGTGCTCAGGGTACGCTCTTGCGGAGTTGCCAGAGCTTCCGCCACTGGACCTCAGCAGGGACTGCCGCCCCAGGACAATTCCTTACTTCTCTCTTGCGGGTTCACCGCAACCTTCGCTGGGGTGACGGGGTCGGCCTCCTGCACTCTCTGCAAGCCCTCACACTCATCCTGCCTCTTCTCTCTCAAGGCTCTCAGCCTGCGATTTCTCTGTGGCTGCAGTCCATAACCTCTCCCGCTCCTAAAGTCACTGCAAAGAGCTAACACTTGTAAATGTTAAAAAGACGGAGAACCAGTAGAAATTCTGCACTTGGTGCCTCCACAAGGAAATGACTGTCAGTTCCAGATTGCCTAGCAAAGAACTGCAATAAATTCAAGCTTATATAATATGTTTTCAAGGGACGAGGACTTATGGAAACCACAAGCAGCCAAAAGTGACAAAAATCCTGGCAGAAAAGGCCTTGCAGAGCTTGGTGTGCATCAGCATTATGGGAACTGGGGCCTCGGGGAGCAGTGATCTGAGGATTTATTTACCTGGCTGGGGAAGCCAGAGAGAACATCGTTTTTGCTGAGCCAGATCCTTGCTGGGGAAAAACCAATGTGCCGTACAAACTCTTGAACACTCTCACCCTGACCACGGCGGGCCAGGGGTTAAGGCCAGATCTCGGTCCCTCTGCCAAGCATCCAACACTAGATGGAAGTTTCTTTGTGGAAAAAAAAAAAATCCAATGTATACTCCAATATCTATAGTAAAGTGTCCTGCACCCAGAGTGTTGTTCGCTTAAAAAAAGTTTTAATGGTTGGGTGAAACTGATGGCTTCGTGGGTGTGGTCTGACATGGCTGTCACCACCTCAACCGAAGTGCAGACTGTCTCGTGCGTAAAACACAAACAACAAAAGAAGAAAAAAACAAAACAAAAACCAAACCAAACCAAACAAAAAAACAACCAAACAAAAACCTCAAAAACAACAAATCTGAGTGACTGACTTTGAAAGTGGGCTAAACCTTCTGTCTCTGTACTTCTGATGTTATTTTTATCAAGAAGGAAACTAAAGAGTGAGGTGAAAGATACGAATATTAACAGCATGGGTTTGTCTGTACCACCAGCGACCGTGGGAGACGCGGCTGGCCGCCCACCTAGCCTCGTCCTCTGACCGGCGCATGCTGCTCTGACGGCCATGACATTAGGCCCTCCTCTGGTCCCTGGAGCCCACGTTGCTCATGGCGGGGAGGGGCGGGAGGCCAGAAGTGCCAGGGAGTGGAAGCCCTCCTCCCCAGCAGCCCTCCCACAGTGACTGACAAGTGGGTTTGGCCCAGTTGTTAGGGGAAAATGAAGCCTACGATGAGGAGTTGGTTGCAATAATTAATTACGGCCTTTCATAAAGACAGAAAAATGTTGGAGACTCTGCATCTCTATTCTTTTCATCTTCTTAAAAGAAACAGAGGATGCAAATGGACAAAGAATAGTGATCAAGTGTCCATTCAGAGTTCTAAAGACGGGTTAGGAAGAATATACAAGTTCCTCTGATCATACACTTTCCAAGGAGCCCACCTTTATGAGAATAAAACGCTTAAGAAAAGGGACTAACTGGGGCACCTGGGTGGCTCAGATGATTAAGCGTCTGCCTTCGGCTCAGGTCATGATCTCAGGGTCCTGGGATCGAGTCCCACATCGGGCTCCCTGCTCCTTCGGAGCCTGCTTCTCCCTCTGCCTCTCTCTCTCTCTGTCTCTAATGAATAAATAAATAAAATCTTTAAAAAAGAAAAAAAAAAAAAAAAAGAAAAGGGACTAACTGATGCCTTTGATTACTTTTTTCTTCTTTGTTTTATAGGAAACAGTTGCTTAGAAATATCTATGGTGCTGGTCAAATGATTCAATTCTAAAATCAGGCCTACGTATACTAATAAGGTAAATGCCAGACGCAGTCCCTGCACGGTTTCATTAACAAATTATGGCATAAGCTTTATGACTGCGACTTCTAAATCTTTATTCATTTATTAAAATAAGGGAAGAATGAATCCAGGACACTTTTCCACCTTGACCTCACCTTTAAATAAATTTAGTTCAATAAATGTGTCCTATGTATAAATTTAGGGTAAGGAGATTCACGGCTTATAGACATAAGTAAGCGTGTTTAATTCATCTCTTAAGGGGATGAGCCTCAAACAGAAATGACTGAAATGCAGAGTAAAGGGAATGCCATGGATTTTAAGAAGTGGTATCATCTGGTTGGGAGAACAAGGTAATTTGAAAGACAGAACAGATGTTAAATAAATATTGACTGAGTGGATGAATACAGAAGTTAGCATATAAATGCCACAAACACAGTACATTAAGATCAGTTTGAGACTTGTAAATGATGAGAGTTTGGCCTTTAACCCACAATCCAGGGTTATGTGAATCCTTTATGTATCAGTGGTTTATAGAGCATTCGGGGGTCTTTCCAGATGGGGCTGCTGTGTATTACCTCAAACTGTTATTACGAAGCCGCCATCCTGACACTGAACACTGTCTTCAAGCTAGAGACCTGCAACGGCAAGCCTGAATATGAATGGTTTTGGTTTTCCTTTTACTTTGATTTTACAAGTCAGCTGGAAATTCCTCTCCCATCTGTTATCATGTTCCAGAGAATTCCGAGACATGGGCACAACAGTTTGGCATTTGGTGGTGTTGGGGACATGATGCCCAGTCAACGTTGGGGACCTCCTGTCACTCTCTCTAATCCCAAACCCCCAGATGTCTCTCGAATGTTGATTTTTCAGGATGCTTCGAAATATTTTATTATAGATAAAAACAGGAGCTTTAGCTTGTTTAGTTTGTTTAGTTTACCTCAGTTTCAGCAAAAGAAAAACATAAGGCAAAGGGCTTTTGCAAATGAACTGCAGTTACAGCCTCATGAGAAAACAGCAGAACTTTTCCTTCTGGGGGTGTGATTCACAGACAGGGAGAGGAAAATAAAGAACCCCAGAACCAAAGGAATGAGGCTACTTAGTGTGAGAAGAGATTCACGGAGAAGAC